ATTGTTTTCAATTCTCCCTGAAGTTCATTACCTCTTCTGTAGACAAGTACAGACGTGCAAGCGATCTGTGAAATGTGAGAGGCACTCTAAGCTTTCATTCAACTGAGAAGATAGCAAAGCAAACAAGAACCGAGGTAATTCTAGACTATGAAGGTAGACTTTCGGGGAAATTATTCACCCTGCTGCCGCGAGAATAGACGCTTCATAACTAAATAGATAATCTGGAAGGGTACGCGTAGAAGAACGGGCAATCGTTGCCAAGAAGTAGGTTGCAGTGTACTTGCCATAAAAATAGCGGACTTGAAAGATGTAATCCGTGATATTTGTCGACACGGTCAAAGCAGGACTACCACACAAACACAAACGAGGGGGAACGACTCCTTGGAAGTTTCAACACGATGCGGCGCTCAAGCTGTCATTTGCCGAACCCAACCAAACCGCAAGAATTCCTGATTTCTTTGAAGAATCGCTTGTTCCCGATATACGCGAAGGACTTTTCGAACACTGATGGCTTTGGTGCACATTCAATACGTTTTCGAGAGACATCCTAATAAGACCGCAGGGTTAGGCGACAGATCGAAGCAGGTAGGAGGAGCGAAGTTCTGGCTGGAACTGACAACAAGCAGACAAAGAAAAACGCGGCTGCCAGGCGCACCCTTCCGGATCTCGATGCTTATCAGCCTGTAGCTCGCGCGCTGTTGCGGGTCACGTGACAAAGGTGACAAGGAAGAGGGAGGGGGCGAGGTCAAGGCGCAGGACACCCGGGACAGACCCTCTCCCTCTCCCCAGGCTTTGCATTGGGACGTGTTTTTGTAGCGTCGAAAAGCAAACGCGCGCGCGCGCGCGCGCGCCTTTTAGCACGCTTGAACGTTGGAAATGGCGGCGGGGCTGCCGGAAGCTCGGCTTGCGCCCGAGCGAAGAAAGTACTCAGCGCAAGCTCGTAGTTCGACTGCTGCAACGGCGGGCGTGCTCTCGCAATGCTCGATGTTCTGGCAGCCGCGTGTTGGCGTGCTACCTTTGTGTCTTGAATTAAAGTGAAAAGGTGTCTAGACGTACATTCTTTCACGCGGTCGCATCTTTTGCGAGAGGGATTCAAGCTGAATAAGTAAATTGAGGCAACAAAGATGGACAAAGTTTTAAAGTTCTGTCAAAAATATCGGCTCACCAACGTCGCTCGTTTACGTAAAAAAAAAGGTGCAAGCTTTAGGTGCAGTATAAGCGAACATCAGCGCAATCAAAAAATATAATTATAATTACTTGCATTACGCGGACGATCTTAAATCTATGCAGCGGGGCTCCCAGTCTTCTGGAAACATTGGCTGCCACGGCTGAAACGCTAGGCGTGCCCATGCCGCCGATTTGTACGTTCAATATCAAGCGGGCTCCGGAGAGCCGTTTGATTAAACTGATACAGTTTGCCGGTCACCAGTCACCCGTCTGTGCAACATGGTCACCAGTTTCAGCAAACGTGCGACAACTTTGCCCGCACGGGTTGCCCATTTGCCCAGAGGAACGACCCGTTTGCCAAATGAGTGGCCTGTTTGTCCAAATAGGTGACCGTTATGGCTCATACGGGGGACCCCTTTGAGCCATACGGCGACCCCTTTGACAAACTGGTGACCGGTATGGACCCGTTTATTTTCATATACACCTTTGCAAGTGGGATCCCGGCTTAACCTCGAACCGCGCGCCAAGTCGAGGCGGACCTACTCTCCAGCCAGGACGTTCGCTGGTTGTCGTACAATGTTGCCAAGCGTCTCTCGCCGAAGCGTACACCACTGAGCGCAGAAAGAAATTTTAAAAAATAATTATAAAACGTACACGTGTCGTCTTCGACAGCGAAATAGCCAGGACAATTAAATAAAATGCCTAAAGCGGTAACAAATCGAAAATTTTCAAAAAGATCTAAAGTCTCAAGGCGCTCTCTTCAGAATGCGCCAAAAGTCGCATGGCCTTTGCATCAACGGTGGCTGCGCTCGCGGCTGCTCTGGCTTCCACAACATGCAGGAACAGAGGCTGCGATCGTTATAAAGTCAGCTCCAACCCTTAAAGATGCCCCGTCCTACAATATGTGACGCTACGATTCTGTGTGGATACCTCCTCCAGCGTTCCGAGACAGTAGACAGTTTTAGTGGATCGTATACTAAAGCCTTGCGTACGCAATAAAATTGCGGGTCGTGAGTGCGCTTGCGCAGAACGCAATAGAAAGGCTAGCGTATTGCGTACGCACGCAACGCTGGGGATTTTGCGAGGCGGGCTAGCGGGCTTTGCGGGACGCTCTCGAAAGATCTCGGACCCAACGAGAGTGCCAGTTTCAAGATGGCGGTTACCTCGACTGGCGCAGCAAGGGCGACGTGGTGTTTTCGAAGTTCTGTGTTACGTGAAACTGCGTGACGTTCAGCTCGGCAATTCTTTCTGGGACCTACCGCGGTCAAGTCAGATCGTCGTGCAGCTGAAGGAGTGCACAGTGACAATGTTCGCCGCTCGGAATATGCGTCAACGCTGCGATCTGCTCAACGCTAAGCCTATTCGCACAGTTCATCGCCGACGGACGAGCGACTCTAAAAGAAATCGCCAAAGATCTCGCTATGCACTGGACATCAGGGTCATGAATTTCATTCCGCGATAGCATTGATAAAAGGTGCCGTTTCAACGGGACGATTGACGGAGGCTCCGTGTTCGAATTTGGCTACGCACTCTTAAGCCTGGTTCAGACAGTTGCGTTTGACTGCGTTGCGGCAGCGAGAAACCAGGACATCCCTGCTACTTATATCGTGTGCTGAGATGATTCTTTGAATTGGATTGCACGCTTCATACGAAGCACAGATGTGCCGGTGACTCGCTTTCGGTTCTCAATGCAACGCAGTCAAACGCACTCAAACGCAAGTGTCTGAACCGGCCTTTACTCGTATAGCCTCTGTACCCCGCAGAAAAGCACGCTTGACGAGGCAGCTGCGGCTGGGTTTAATTTGAAATAAAATGATTGGACACGTTTTGATTTTCAATATTTCTTTCCAGGAGCATGGTTGGGCTATAAGCACGCGGAATTCTGCAGCTCTAGCAAATCTAACCAAGATCATGCGCGGTGTTCACTCGAAAACGTAACGCACAACTAAATTCGGTCCGAGCAGGTCATTTTTAGCGTACGCTATACTATTGCGTATTGCGTACGCAAGAGCCAGCAACGCTATACTAAAACTGTCTAGTAAGTGTGCCGCTAACGTAAGCCATCGGCGATGCAGCAAACGGCACCATCTCGTCATCGCGCACCCCAATGACGTGCCCCTGGCGCACCCCAGCATGGCGGAAACGGTACGGGGCGCCAGCATCGCTCAAAATGGCAGCGCACAGGAGCCTTTCTTGCAAACGTGTATAGGCACCAAATGGTTTATTTCAGTAGGGTATCGCGGGTGCGCGCGTGCCCTTCTTGAGCCTCGTCTTCGTCTTCCTTAACCGCGATATATATCAGTCAAGTTTCGTACCACCAAGCTCTAGGTGTATTGCAACACGACGCCACGAGTGTAACAGACTGGTTCTACGAGAATTTTATCACTCTTGACGCAATAAGACTTGTCTTTTTCGGGAATCCGCTAAAGCAGGTACCTTTGGACAAATCCTTTGTTTTACACAGATCCAACTGTCATGACTGAACGTGTACTCCCGTAAAATACGTTGAGAATGTGGATTACTAGGAAAATTTTTTTTATTAAGATTTATCATGGTCAACGCTTTCATCGTATGTATCTAGACAGTGCCGAAACGCCAGCTCCGTACTTTGCAACAATACGATGTTTATGGTTTTTGCTGTAAGAAAATCGATTCCACACACTCTTGCTTATATTATACTAAAAATAGTATCACAATATTTGGTAACTGCACAGAAGTTTGGAAAACTAAGATTCACCTCTTTAGAAATCATGCTTACAGAGTTTCTGATACGAAAACACATGTTTGCTTTCCATAGATTTGCGAGCGACCATGGATTGCTTTCAACCGAGGTCTCCTGAGAGCGCTCGTGTAGTGCACGGGCGTCCCCTGCCCAAAACTCTCGAAGCGATGATTTCCTAAAAAGGAAGACTGACCAAATTCTGGAATGTTTATAAAAAAGTATCGAATATTTCCTTGATCTTACATTAGGAACAAACATCTTCGAGGCTTTTCAGCTGGTACACTTTCGTTCACTCCATCTTCAATGTGTTTTGGGAGACCGCTGGCGAAGTGGGCTAGCGCACACGAGCTCGGAGGACGTGGAGCGAAAGCTTGCTCTGCGGAACGCAGGGATCTTTGGTTCATTCGCACCCCTGCCCGTTTCAGTCTGGATGAGCATCGTAGCAGCGTGCGGTCGTGTATCATTACTGCGTGATGCATGTTAAATACTTCAGGTTAGTAGCTGTACTGAACTGGCTAAATTACTCATCTACAGCTGGGAGACAAGTCGCTCATTGAGGCAAACCAAGTTCTCGGTTGTATAAACATACACACACCCCAATTCTTTTTTTTTTTTTTTTTTTTACAGAGAGTGCCAGAGTAGGATGACACTTTTATTGACTTTAGACCTTAAATTTACCAAGTGCAGTACAACTGCTATCTTGGGGTCTTTAGCTTATTACGCAGCAGTGATACACGACCGCACGCCGGTACGATGCTCATACGGATCGAAACGGCTACGGGGGAAAATTGTACCCAAGGTTTATGGGTGCTGCAGCGCGAGATTTCGCTTCAGGTGCTTCAATTCGCGTCCAAATCGTCTTCATTGGGAAACAAAGAAAAGACGAGAAAAAAGTGTCTTTGCTGCTGTGCCACGTGCCATTTCAGAAAGGGGTGACAGAAACAGAATCGCTCTTCGTTGGTTGCGCACTTTACTTTCGTTTTAAACTCAATAGATAAGCCCACCTTGACTGTTTCTTGCCGCGCCTTAGCGAAATCTTGACTTGTCACCTACTCCTTGGTTTCAGAAGACTTTCGACAGTTCAAGGGTAAACATTTTTCAGTTTGAAGCCATGGGAAAGAAAAACAGTACACTCAGGCCAGAAGCATTAGAGGACTTGCGAAATTGCACCGAATATTCAGACTCCGAGATTATGACCTGGTGCAAGATATTCTTCAAAGACTGTCCAACGGGGCGACTCACCCTTCGGGAGTTCAAGGACATCTACCACAACGTTTTCCCTAACGGCAACGCGTCCAAGTTTGCAGAACACGTCTTCCGAACCTTCGATACCAACAAAGACAATACCATCGACTTCCGCGAGTTCCTGTGCGGACTGCATGTAACTACAAGAGGCACACCAGAGGAGAAGCTTCAGTGGGCCTTCCGCATGTACGACATGGACGGAGACGGCTTCATCCAGTACCACGAAATGGTGGACATGCTCACCGCCATCTTCAAGATGGTCAGACCAGTTATAAAAAGGTCCCCCACCGATGACTTGGAAATCGGGAAACTGGCGGACAAAATCTTTCGTCAGGGAGACACGAACAGGGACGGCAAGCTCTCTTGGGAAGAGTTCAATCGGTTTGCCAAGGATAACCCTATGATTGTCAGCGTGCTGCTGGGAGATAGCAAGTTTTCTCTCGACTGAGTGCGGCTCTGCAGAAGCAGCTGACTAACCATATCGATAAGGCATCGTATACTCCTCTCACTAACGCTAGCAATGTATTATAGAAAGAACGAAATCAAGGATACAATACAGTATACAGCCTTTTGGCTGATCATCGGTGGAGAGACACCTTTTTATTTAAGAACCATTTGCCTGACAAACCGAGCAGGTCTCTATTTCTTGTATGAGAGTACTTGTGACGTCCTCAGATGACGAGCACGTATGCCGAACAGTGTTTGCAGTTTGAAGTTCATTCTATTTGAAACAAATATAACGTGCAAATGTATATGTGTCAGTCATCGGAAATCACAAGCATGTTCCAAAGCAACTATTTCTTAGTGCAAGCTTTCAAATACTCTACTTTTATTCCAGCGTTTTCTTCGCTCGGTGCGTCATCTCTTAGAATCCTTCAACGCTATAAAAGATACTTGGCGCCCTAAGCTCTCCTCCGGACCTTCGAAACGCTCTGCCCAGCAGAAGAAACATATAGCGTAGATGATAAAGAGCCGGAATCAGCGTCTAAAATGTCAAAGTGGCCATGAAACGATTTTTCAACTTCTTCCTGGTTAGCTTTCTTCCTCAACTCAAAAGCGAATTGAGAGCAGTAGATTTGGCAGTAGTTTTAACGTTTAGTAAACCGCTTTGAAAGGGAATAGGGGAAAACGGTGGGTGCCGGTGGCTACGAGGCCTTGGCACGCGAATGGAAAAATCACGTCGTCGTGACATTCTTGGGCACCGGTGCGATTAGGGTGCCTTCATGTGCGTTTTGCTTAGGGTGGTGGCATCTCGCCATTTTGTACCACACGTTTAATTTTAGCTTTTTGTTCAGAAGCGCGTGAAAAAGCGTGTTCATGCACGTGTTTGTTGCGCTGATTGGGCTATGGCGACATTTTGTTTTAGTCTATTTCTTTGTATTTTTCCCTTGAGCGCGTGCTGTTGGCATCGGGTACTACAAAGAGTACCCGATCACCCTAAACAGAAGGACATTGAGGCACCCTAAGTGCGATGAGTTCAAGATTTCATCGTGCTTTTTAAGCACACCCTAGAACTTGTCATTCGCCAATGATAAGTTCCGTTCGGGCACTCATTGGCCACGAACGCGAATCCAAATATTCGTTGACGGATTGATTGTTGACGAGCGCGTACATCCAAGTGACGCAGTTCTCCTGTCCAATGCGTAAGCTAGGGTCGGCTGGCGTGTTTTGGCGTCGGCTGGCGTGTTTTCGGTACCGCGAATGCCTCAAACTAAAAGGGTAGAGGGCGTTTGAAGCAAAGGACTCACGAAGTAGTTTGTTATATTTTCAAATGTTCATACCAAAAAGCTGGCTTTTGACTTTCTACCTTCTTATTTTGTTGTGGTTGCCTACTAAATGATATACGCTTAGTAAAGTCCCAATCTTATTTATCCCAGCCAGAAGTTCATTTCAAGGCTCCTTTGAATGGGCGCACGCAATATATTTTCCGTCTCACAAAAAAAATCTCGAGCCAAGAAAGGGCACAGGGCGCGTGGGCCTGACATAGCAGAATGCATTTGTTTGTAAGAGAACTCGTGCATGGGAGGCACTTTTCAAAGCCACGCGCTCGCGCCTTTGTCTGCGCTGCAGATACGGTGAACAATACTTCGTTCCAGCTTAAGTTCAGACGCAGCCGATGCTACAAGCGCGAGCATGTGGCCTTGAACAGTGCTTGCATTGCACGGGCGCTTGTGATTGGTAGAGGCGCTGACAGCCTGGAGCATGCACTTGTAGTATCGGCTGCGCCTGAACTTAAGCTGCAACAAAGTATAAAATAATAGAATAGGAGTAGTGGAAAATTGCTGGGCCTCAGGGAGAGGCGCTTCGTGTAGAACCCACCACGTAGCGCTGGCACTCGATTCCGGAGCCACGATTCTTGTTATGGGAGACTTTAATGATGCGTAGACAACCTATAGACAACTGCAACATTCTCGCTACAACATATGTAGGAAGGGGAAAACGTGAACAGGGTGCTGCCTGGGCTGACTTTCGCAGACACCATTGTGCTCACAGCTGGCTATGTGGAAACTACGCAGCGGCTACTCGATACATGCGCTGAGCTGGACTGCTCGGTCTTCAGTACAACACTATGAAGTCTGCAGTGGTGCAGTTCGTCGGCTCGGAGGAAATGAAGATCAAAAGCCTTAAGTTGGGTGTGGACAACATGCCGGCGGTTAGCATGTACAGGTACCGGAGGGTTACCCTCTCAAACGAAGTGCATAGCATCTCCTTGCATTACAGGGCATTGTGTGCCTTAAAATGTCCTAAAAGTAAAAAAAGTGGTGGAAGCTCACTAAAAAGTTCTTCAAGCATTTCAATTTTTAGCTGATAACTGGGGGTATATATAAAGAACAAACTGTAATTATATGATCTAACAAAATGCGGGCTGCCACAGCCTCCAGCGAAGTCAGCAGGGTCACTTCGCTATACATGGAGTTGAGCGTTCCACTACAACTGCTACGCCTCCAGATGAATCAACTGCTTGTATCCGATCCTTGCAAAACAGCTAGAAGTACTTTGACATACTAGTGTGGCTCGCTTTTAGATGTGTTCACTGCAAGCAAAATGCAAAGGGGCCTTGATCATCCAGTAGCTCGTTTACATCGTCATAGGAAGGAGGCCTCTACAGTTCCACTGAAGAAAATAAGACATCGGTATTATAAAAGGAAGTAAAATCTATATATATATATATGTATTGTGGGCTTTGCGGCCCATCATCGGGCAAAAGAACCTGTGCTCCGCGCCCGGCGCGCAACGTGCGCGCGAGGCACACTCGAGTCTCGGGGCTATGGAGTCCGTTCGCTGCCACGAACAAGTAAAGGTGTGTTCTCTAAGATCTGCCTCGTTGGTCCTTCTTGCGGGTGAGCAGTAGCACCGAACCCTACATTATTTGGCGCTCCACGCGAGGCCTACTGCTCCCCCGCGGCTTGGACCGCAGGCTTTTAGCCCGCTTTAGGCGTGTTAGCCTGGTTTTTCTCCCGTTGTCATACCCGACAGGCCTACGTGGTCGTTCGACTAGGCTTCGGCCACCGGACGCCATCTTTGCCATTGGGGCTTGGCCGTTGTGAATAGTGTGCATATTGTAGTATATTGCGTGTTTTTCCGTTCTTTTGTGTTTTGTTTTGTTCTGTTTCTTTTTGTTTAGCTGTTTTTCTGCGGTTGCTACTGCGATGCAGACCCGCCATAGAGCCGCCGCAGACCAAGGCGAGACCGGAGAGGGGCCTGACCCGACGTCCATGGACCTGATGGCTCGGGTGGCCAACCTGTGCAACACGGTCGCGCAACGCCTGGTCCTGGCTGACCACGGACCCCAAGGGCAAGGGCCACGACCCCAAGTGCCGGTTCCGTTGTACACGGGCTACGACGACAGGAAGTCTGTGGCCGACTTCCTGGCCGAGCTGGCGGCCTATAAGCTCGCCACGGGAGCCTCCGACGAGTACGTCCTTGCGTGGGTGCCGCCCGTGGCGTTCCAGGCTAGCGCCGCGCGCTGGTGGCGCATCGTGGCCCCCTTCCTCACCTGGGAAGACTTTCGGCGGAAGTTTCAAGATGAGTTTCTTCCACCTGGGTATCAGTCTCGAGTCCAGCGAGAACTGGAGCGCCGGACCCAGCACCCGGGCGAGACCCTCGTCGAATATGTACGGGTGATGCTGGAGCTCTATGAAAGAGCCTGCCCAACGACGTCGGAGTCGGACAGGGCTGCTCGGGTGATGCAGCAGAGCCACCCAAGATTCCGGCCCTACCTGCACGGCCGCACGTATTCCACCCTGGAGCAACTGGCCCGGAACGCTCACGGCATACAAGAGACGCTCCTGGCCGAGCTGCAGTATCGGCCCCCGCCACCGCCTGAAGGAGCTCTTGAGCCGTCCTGTGCCTGGCGAGCTCCCGGTCCCAGAAGAGGTTCGACTCAGCGCCAAACCCTGGATGGCGCGGTCTGTCCCCCCCGTGCGCTGGACTCCTACGCCTTCGGGCAATGGGAGCGCGGGGGACCACTCGATGGTTCGGACCCCCGGCTACATGCCCGGCCGGCTGGATCGAGACTACGGCAGTGTGAAAGCCGTTTAACGTCCTTCCCCCGCAATGCCAACCGGGGCGCCGATCGCTGGTCCAACGAGGGACACCAAGAAGGGCCGCAACGACAAGCGCAGGCAAGCCCGACGCACGGCCCTGACCGGCGCAACTCGGTGCGGTGCTTCGGCTGCGGTCGCCATGGCCACTTCCGGCGTGACTGCCCCGACCTGCGGCGCAACCGTCCTGCAGCCTCGAGAAATGAGTTGACCCCTGAACGCCTGTCGGCCGCAATGACCATGGACAACTCGGCAATACTTCCATCGGTATGTCGAATTCAGCCTGACCTTGAGCTAATTGAGCCCCGTATGACAGTTACAGTGCTCGGAGTACCTGTGGCAGCGCTAATTGATACCGGTGCGAGTCTGTCGCTTATTGGGGACTACCTGATTGAACGCTGCAGAGAGCAGAAAGCCAACTTGCGCGAGACTGACGTGCGCTTACAGCTAGCGTCAGGACCAGAAATGCTCGCGAGTCAAGCCGTGAGGTTACAGATCGGGTTCAACGAGAAAAAACGCCGTCAGCGCTTCGCTTGCTTACCTGCTCTCACGGTACCGATTATTTTGGGGCGAGATTTCATTTTCGGGGAGAACCTGGTTCTGGACTTTCCGAACAAAGGCTACCGGTTAGGTAGTGACTCGAAACTGATCCCATTTACCAGACGAGAGGATTGTATCGTCAGTGTCGATAACGTGGGCGTTAGAACGCCTGCTTTGCGACTCCCATGTGCGGTAAGCGATTCTTTGCAGAAGTGTCCTGCTACGGACCAGCAAAAGCGGCGTCTCCAAAGACTCCTGGAGGAGTTTTCGCCGGTGTTCACGGAGAACCCCGGCAGAACCGGTGTCCTAAAGCATTCAATTGATATCGGGAATACACGGCCTCTACGCTGCAACCCTCGACCAA